CCCCGCCGCTTTCGCTTTCGTTTTCCCGCCCGACCCGCTCGCTCCGGGCCCTTCCCGGTAGGATCCATTCCCGCTGGGATCCCCGTCCCGTGGGAGCTCCATCCCGGTGGGATCCCGTCCCTTGGGAGCCCCATCCCGCTCCGATCCCGGACCCGTGGGAGCGACGGCCATGGCAAGTGCCGGGGAGGGGCAGGGCCGGGAGGAGCTGGGGAAAAAGGGTGGAGAGGGAGCAGGAGAGGGACTGGGGTCAAGGGTTAGAGGGGCAGGACACAGGGAATGGCTCCCACTGCCAGAGGGCAGGGATGGATGGGAGATTGGGATGGGATTCCTGGCTGGGCTGGAGTTCCCAGAGCAGCTGTGGCTGTCCCTGGATCCCTGGCTGCGCCCCAGGCCAGGCTGGACATTGGGGCTGGAGCAGCCTGGCACAGTGGGAGGTGTCCCTGCCATGGCATGGGTGGCACTGGATGGGATTTAAGGTCCCTCCCAACCCGACCCACTCTGGGATGTGCCGGGAAGCCACAGCAGGACCCGATTGTCACCGGAGCCTCTGCCCCATTCCCTCCTCCCGGCCCATTCCCGGCCCCTCCCGCAGCGCCCATCCCTGCCCGGGAGCAGCTGCTCGGCACAGACGCGTCTCGGGAGTGATTCAGCACAAACCGTGTGTTCTTGGGTTGTTTTTTTTCCCCTAACCCCACTAGCAGGCCCGAGTGTTGCTCCCAAACACCAGCTGGGAAGGTGCGAGGGCTGTCTGGCAGCTGAGCTGAGCTCCGGCTGTGCCAGGCGTGAGAAAATCCCTGTTTGTATTCCCTCCGTGCTGCCTCATTACAGCGGGGACTTGCTCTCACACGAGCTTCACCGCCAGGATAATTGGCTACTGTAATTAATTAAAAGCTCCCGGCTCTGGAAATTTGACGGGGGATAAAAGGAGGTTGCGGAGCCTCTCGCTGGGTTTGTCTCCAGAGCCGTGGTGGTCGCCGGGATTTTGGACAGACATCAGCAGCACATTCTGCTCTGGGGCTGGAGCTGGGATCGTGTTTTAGGCAGCAGAAAACAACTTAAGAGAAGTTTAAAGAATTCTGATGGAGTGACTGACCTCAAGTGTGGTTACTGACAGCTCGTTCCCACAAACGCTGCCATGCAGACAAATCAAATTTACCTCCTTTCTTCCAAAAAGTCAGCGAACTGTTACTAAATTAAGTCAGTGCTCCATGATTTGCAGGGGTTTTGCTGTGATACTCCCAGTGCAATGTTCCTGTTTATGTCTGTGTAATAATGGAAAGAAAATCTGCTCTTCCTAGCAAGACGTGGATGCAGATGCTATTTGGGATGGGGTTTGTGTTTGCTCCTGGGGCTTTGGCTCTGATGGAAATTGTGTGTGTGGTTGGTTGTTCCATGCTCTGCGGATCTGGGCTGGCTGGGATGATGTTCTCCCGATTTAACAGGGTTATCCATGTAATAATTGGAGAGATCTGAGTCAGATCCCAGCTCTCCTGGATTTAACAAGGAATCTGCCCCTTCTACTCTGCAAGGAATCCTTGCTGAGCACCACGTGCAGTTACAATTTTTCATTCTTTTCTAATTTGGAATATTAGAAGCAGAGAAAACCACGTTATCAGTGGGACTTTCCAGTTGAGAAGCTCAAGTTTAATGCTCATTTTTACTGCTTTAAGAAGATACTGAGAGGGTTTAAATGGCATTTAAAACCATTTTTTAGTGCACAGTAATGCACTAGGCAGCCTGGCAGAGAGATTTGATTGAGCAGCATTAATTAACCCCTAAATGCACATTGCAAAGGGAGTGGGAGTTCTCTCCAGGGGTGGGAATTTGGGAGGTTCCTCCTGCATTTACCGTGTGCCATCTCTGCACAGGCCATGGGCCAAGCTGCCAGATCCACGAGGACAATTGTCATTGCTGGTGTCCCAGCTGGCCTCCTGCAGGATGATGTCATGGCTGACATCCTCACCATCCACTTCCAAATGTCCAGGAATAACGGCGGGGATGTGGAAGAGGTCACATATCCCACACGGAATAAAGGAGTTGCCTACATAACCTTTGAGGATCAAGAAGGTATTTTAGATTTGTGTCTTCAAGTACAGCCATCCCCCAAAGAATTAGCCCCAGAATGTTGATTCCAAGCCAAATGATTTTAAATTGGGATTTCATAGAACTGGGAGGCTGAAGCCTCTCTGGTAATCAGGCCAAGTTTCAGGATTTTATTTCTGCTCGTTGAAGTAATGACTCACTCGTCATGCAAAGCGATATGTTTGTTTTGCAGGAACAAATTGATGCCATGAATAACGTATTATTTTTGTAGTCAGGCTCTGGGGAATAAATCTCTGCCAATTAACGTGCCAAGGAGGCAGGCTCGTGTCTCTCTTAGCAATTTGGAGTAAAATACATAAAATATTAGGTGAGAGTATTGAGTGGCCTGGACGTGTTTGGGTACAGGAAGGGTTCCAGCAGGCTAGAGGTGACTGTTCCACTGCTCACCAAGTGAATCTGGGTTTGTTTTTAGTGGTGGAGAGTGTTCTGAAGAAGGAGCAGCATCTCCTGCAGGACAAGAGGCTGCCCAGGAGCTACCCGCTGACAGTGACCCGCTACTGCGACAGCGTGAGCCCCGATTCGTCTCCTTGTGCTTAATGCCTTATAAACCACTTACTAACCACTCTTTAACTTCTCCACTTCACAATTCCAGGTCTTCCTCTGTGTCACGTCCACCCTCAACGTGGCTCTTTTCAGACATCACTTTGTTTTGGAAGATTTGGTGGAAGAGATGAAAAAGCAGAGCCCGGATTTGAATTTTGGGCCTTTGCAGCCTGACGGACAAATTGCTGTGCGAGGGTCCTTCCCAGCACTCAGAGTGCTGAGAGAATTCCTCTTGTTAAAGGCAAAATCCCTCTCAGAGGAGGGCAAAAGAGAGGGAAAATCCCATCAGAAACCGAGGAAGAAGCTTCAGGAGTACAGAAGTGCCGCGGAGACGAGGAATTCTCGGAGTGAGCACAGGGAAAAACAAGTGCTGGTTCTGGACACAGATATCTATCTCTACATGAAGTGCTTTCTTCCCAAAAAGTTCCAGGCAAACGATGTTGTGATTTCTGGTGTCACTGATGGTGACATCACCACGGTGTGCATTGAGAGTGCTGGCAGGGAGGCTGGTGCTGCTCGCAGATCAAGGGCCAAGGAAATCATTGAAAGGTGCTCCGTAGAACTCCAGAAGATTTTACGTAAAGAAAGGATCTGCCTCAAGGAACAGAGCAGAGGGCAGAAGCAGAGATACAAACAGCTCTGTGAGAGGCTGAAGGCCCGTTACCCCGGGCTGCTGATCCTTCCTTACGACACCCACATTGACGTGGTGGGGACGTCTGCAGATGTTTTTGCGTTTAGGGAGGAGGTGAGGAGGCTCTCCAGGTAGGAGGGAGCGCTCCTGGAGTTTGTACTTCTCACCCAGCCTGTGCCTGTGGCCCTGTGGCACTGCACATCTCCCTGTGTGTCACTCTGGGTCGCCTTGTCCCACTCACTGGGAGGGTGACCCAGCCTGGCCCTCCCCAAATACCA